AGCAACGTATGTATAAATTTTTGTATGGGAGACTAACTTGAAATGTAAACTTCATTTAAACTACGACAGTAAAAAAAATTAAAAAAAAGAGACAAGCCAACGTTCCAAAGGACCAAGCATCAATTCAGTCTCTGATCTGCTGGCCTCCAAAGCCTCTCCCTTCTACCTCTACATGTCACACCACTGCTAACACTCCCCAGTGCACCCCTAACCTTTGGGGCCTGCAATACAGCAGAGGAGATGAAAATACAGACAGGAAAGCAGGTTGAGTTCCTGTGTTTATGGCGGCCCTTCTCCCCTGCAGGGCATCTCCCCTGCCCCCTGGCCTGTCAGGGTGAAGGCAAAGGGGAGAGGCTGGGGGCTGGGACAGTGAGACGGGCAGAAGAAGAACCTGAGGTGGGAAGAACAGAGACAAGGGCGTCTGTCGGAGAGCTGACGGGGTGCAGGTGTGGGAGAAGAAGGGTTCCAGCATCCATGCTCTGCAGGAATGCATCACAGCTTGTGAGGCCAGAGGCCAGCACCCTCCTTGATGGAGGATCAGTTAGAGCAGGACCAGGGCCAGCCAGCCATGAAACGACGCCATCCACAGCAGGAGAACACCAGGGACTCACGGTGGGGCATGGAAAATGCTCACCTCGAAAGGGTTCTGGACCTGGGTCAGGGCTCTCTCCTCCCTGCCCCTGGAGTGAGCGTCTTCCTGGTGTCACCAGGGAGGGTGGAGAGACATGCTGCCCCCAAGGGAAGGAGGGCTCAGTGTTGGCTGAGGGAGGCTGCGGCGACTGCATGACGGCACACATAAGCCACAGCTCATACCAGGACTCCAACACATCAGTTCTCGCTTCAGCACTCATCATGACACGACTGCCACGTCTCCTGTAAGCACCAGGATGGTTCTCCTGCCGACTTTATCATACCACCTCTCACCAAATGGGAAGGACCCCACTCAGAGAGTGACAGACTGGGCCATCTGACCAGCCAGTGGGTATCTCAGTCACATGTAAGGAAACAGTGATTGTCACTCAGGCCAGGACCGCAACTGATTTTTCTGGGGACTCTGGAAAAAGACGGTACGCCTAATTATTTTTCACTTTGCTTTGGGAAGACTCTAATTATAGTGTCTTTGGTTGGTGAATGTTGTTCTTTTTTTTTTTTTTTTAATTTGTAAGTGGAAAGTTGGCTTGGCATGTAAAGTTAATAAACTTTATAGGAAGAGCAACTTACAGCTACCCAGTTGGAAGCTTTAGGGCCAAAAGAAATTTCCATAGGATTCAATAGGACAGAAACAGTCCTCAGAGGGAAATCAAGCCAATGTTTCCATTTGGCAAAACCATTCACATGGCCCTTTGGAAACAATACAAAGTAAGTCAACTCCATTGATGAAGAAACTTAGTAAGGAAGGCATTCTCTTTTCTACAAGGGAGCCCTTCAGAGGTCAACGATGATGGCCAGCTTGACAATATTCTCCGGACAATACTGGTGTTGTGCACATGTGCACACATACACACGTGAGTAATGGGTCTAAACCAATGGTTCTCAGCCAGGGAGGGGCTGTCCTGCAGGGGCCATCTGGCCATATTTGGAGATATTTTGGTTGTCACATTGGAGGAGTGGTCTGCTACAGTCATCTAGTGCGTGCTATTGTTGTCGTTAGGTGCCATTGAGTTGCTTCTGACTCACAGCGACCTCGTGTACAACAGAACGAAACACTGCCTGGTCCTGGGCCATCCTCATAATCGTTGTTATGCTTGACCTATTGTTGCAGCCACTGTAGTCA